ACACGATGAAGAACGAAGACCTCAGCCCCTGATACTACTACTGGGCTGAACTGTCATGAGGGATGAGGAATTTAGATCATCGGGGTATAATTGTCCAAGGGCTTCTTTGCTCGAGGTCCCTCTTAGGAGGCACCCTAAGCCATTGATAAAAAAGATGTTACAGAGGAATCTCCTTTTGGCTCGTTGATTCAGTGGAAACCTAGAGTTGAACGCCGTTGTACCTGGCTGGCAGGTGGCATTTCCATAGCATGCACACCAAAGTATTTTAGGTGCCCACGAAGTGGAAGGACTGAAAACTGCTGCTGCAAAGAGAGCACAGAGCACGCGGCTGACTCACTCATCCAGCTCCTTACAACAGACTGCTGAACTAACTCTTAAACAAACGCTTTCAACTGAAATGCTACTGAAGCTCCTAATGAAACGCCGCCAGCAAATCCACAATTCAGATTAATCTCTTCCAGATAAAAACAACACGCGCTTGCTTTAAGAGATACGACCTGTAACCTTAAACTGCCGAACACCAAATTAGGCCATCCTGTGACATTTTGCCAGCAGTTCCACACAAAGTTGTACTGCCCAATCGTCCCCGTTTTGTAACACATTGGCAGCTCCTCTTTTGCCAGAGTTGGGACTGTTTGATATGCAGTCCTGCTTTCCCCTTCCTTGCTCGTGACTGGACTTTAAAATCAACTTTAGGGAGAAGTCTTCCAGATCAAGGAAGGAGGTACCTCAGGAGGAACACGGCAAGCACACGGAAGAAGCTCTGCCTGAACTGCAAGGGCTCTGACGCACAGAAGAATTAGTTTTGTTGTGCACGGATCCTCTGCCCCACGCTGGAAATGGCAGAGGCTGCCATTCTCGTCCTCCGCACCTGCGTCACGCTGCTTGCCTTGCCCATCTACATACTGTCCTTCCTGGGCCTATGGGAGCCTTTCTGCGAGAAGATATTTTTTCCTTTCGTCATGGACAAGCTTTCCACAATTCAGGAAAAGAAAACAAAGAAGCACAAGCTGGAGCTATTTCGGAATCTACCTGACTTCAAGAGCCCCTCAGGAGAGCTGAAGCTGCTGGAGATCGGCACTGGCTTAGGTACAAACTTCCAGTTCTACCCACCAGGCTGCAAAGTCACATGCACCGATATAAACCCCAACTTCCAGAAAGGCCTTTCGAGAAACATGAGCAAGAACCAGCACATCCACTACGAGCGTTTCCTCGTAGCCGCAGGAGAAGACCTGCACCAGGTGCCCAGCGGCTCCGTGGACGTCGTCATCTGCACCTTTGTCCTTTGCTCCGTGCACAACGTGAACGGCACCCTGAAGGAGGCACTGCGAGTGCTCAAACCCGTGAGTATCCAAACAAAAGAAGTCTGTTATTGCCTTCAGCTCCTACTCCAGAGGCACCGCACCAAAAGAAAAGGGCGGGGAGGGGGAAAGAAGTTGTGTTTGAGCTTATGAACCAGACCCAGTTTATTTCCCCACAGCCCCTCTGCTGATGCAAAGCGGTAGCGACAGACTGGTCAGTCTGTTCTATTCTTAAAAGTAAAACCCTAAAAGTAACCACCTGCTAACTAGAGCTGCCACTAACTTTGTCGGTAATTACAGTGCATTGCTGAAAGCAGAACTGGTTCCTGTGTTACTGTCCCTCCCCACACACACCAGATTTTCTTTGCGTGGGAAGCTCTCAGATCAAGGCTGAAAGTCTGCATTTAAACAAACTGCTTGAGCCCCTTAGAAGCGGGGCTGATCTACCTGTATGACTAGAACAGTCTAATTAAATGCCTTTGTTCCCTGTATACTAATCAAGCTCAAGATTTTAAAAAAGCTGTTTTGTTGGGGTATTTTAGCAATGCATTTCCAGCCTTTAAAATGGCATTTTCAAGACAATCCTCTGGGTTGTCAAAAACTGATGAGTTTGAGTAGGATTTATGCGTTTTGTTTCCTTCGGAAAAAAACGATACGTTAGCAACTGTAATTGAAACAAAAAAGACAACAAACTATTGCTGTAATAAAAGAGGGATCCAATATATTAGTACATCCTTCATGCTTGCATTTTGAATCTCTGCAAGTTTCCTGCTCGCATTAATTCCGGCTGACGCCACAAAAGCGAAAAAAAGCAGTGGGCAGGGAAGGGGGGGGCAGAATGCCGATGAGCGAGCGACCCGTACGCGCTGCTCTGTGTCTGAGGGGCGGTGGGACGGAGGGAGAAGCCCGGCGTAACCCGCTGCGGCTCTGTGAGACGACTTTGTTTTCCCCAGGGAGGTGCTTTCTACTTCTTGGAGCACGTGGCCGCCAATCCTTCCAGCTGGAAGCACTTCTGGCAGCACGTCTACTACCCGACTTGGAAACTCGTCTTTGCTGGGTGCTGCCTAACGAGAGAGATATGGAAGAATCTCGAACAGGCTAACTTCTCGGAGTTAAATTTAAAACATATCGACGTTTCGCTGCCCTGGACGCCCGTTGAGCCCCACATCATTGGCTACGCCGTGAAGTAACACCCGCCGCCCTGCCAGGCCTTCCCCCCTGCCCTCCCCAAACTCCTTGACAATAATCAACGCAAACAACGCAGCGCAGGCTAATATGGACTTTGGAATCTCAGTAACACAGCGAAGGACTTTAATTAAGTTTCCAATTCAAGGCTCGGATGAGAAGAGAGGGTCGGCTTTCTAAACACCTCTGAGGCCCTTGCGCTTGCCAGACCCACGGAGGATCCCAGAAGGCTGCAGGAGGCAAACCAGCCCGGCAGAGGAAGAAAAAAAAGAGAAAAGTAACTCAA